AGTACATGGCGTACATTTGATGTTTGAAGCCTTCTTCATTGACTAAACTGAAAAATATAATTAATATATATATAATAACATATATTTATGTATATTAATATAAACTCCAAATATTGTAATGTGTGGTTCATTTTAAATTGTATAACATATAACGAAACTGTTACCAAGAAGACAACTTGTCATTACTTCTCCTGGTGCGTCGTCTGCAGGTAGCATGTCGGCGTGGAGTACATGGCGTACATTTGATGTTTGAAGCCTTCTTCATTGACAAAACTGAAAAATACAATTACATATATTTATGTATATTAATATAAACTCCAAATATTGTAATGTGTGGTTCATTTTAAATTGTATAACATATAACGAAACTCTTACAAAGAAGAGAACTTGTCATTACTTCTCCTGGTGCGTCGTCTGCAGGTAGCATGTCGGCGTGGAGTACATGGCGTACATTTGATGTTTGAAGCCTTCTTCATTGACTAAACTGAAAAATATAATTAATATATATATAATAACATATATTTATGTATATTAATATAAACTCCAAATATTGTAATGTGTGGTTCATTTTAAATTGTATAACATATAACGAAACTGTTACCAAGAAGACAACTTGTCATTACTTCTCCTGGTGCGTCGTCTGCAGGTAGCATGTCGGCGTGGAGTACATGGCGTACATTTGATGTTTGAAGCCTTCTTCATTGACAAAACTGAAAAATACAATTACATATATTTATGTATATTAATATAAACTCCAAATATTGTAATGTGTGGTTCATTTTAAATTGTATAACATATAACGAAACTCTTACCAAGAAGACAACTTGTCATTACTTCTCCTGGTGCGTCGTCTGCAGGTAGCATGTCGGCGTGGAGTACATGGCGTACATTTGATGTTTGAAGCCTTCTTCATTGACTAAACTGAAAAATATAATTAATATATATATAATAACATATATTTATGTATATTAATATAAACTCCAAATATTGTAATGTGTGGTTCATTTTAAATTGTATAACATATAACGAAACTGTTACCAAGAAGACAACTTGTCATTACTTCTCCTGGTGCGTCGTCTGCAGGTAGCATGTCGGCGTGGAGTACATGGCGTACATTTGATGTTTGAAGCCTTCTTCATTGACTAAACTGAAAAATATAATTAATATATATATAATAACATATATTTATGTATATTAATATAAACTCCAAATATTGTAATGTGTGATTCATTTTAAATTGTATAACATATAACGAAACTGTTACCAAGAAGACAACTTGTCATTACTTCTCCTTGTGCGTCGTCTGCAGGTAGCATGTCGGCGTGGAGTACATGGCGTACATTTGATGTTTGAAGCCTTCTTCATTGACTAAACTGAAAAATATAATTAATATATATATGTATAATAACATATATTTATGTATATTAATATAAACTCCAAATATTGTAATGTGTGGTTCATTTTAAATTGTATAACATATAACGAAACTGTTACCAAGAAGACAACTTGTCATTACTTCTCCTGGTGCGTCGTCTGCAGGTAGCATGTCGGCGTGGAGTACATGGCGTACATTTGATGTTTGAAGCCTTCTTCATTGACAAAACTGAAAAATACAATTACATATATTTATGTATATTAATATAAACTCCAAATATTGTAATGTGTGGTTCATTTTAAATTGTATAACATATAACGAAACTCTTACAAAGAAGACAACTTGTCATTACTTCTCCTTGTGCGTCGTCTGCAGGTAGCATGTCGGCGTGGAGTACATGGCGTACATTTGATGTTTGAAGCCTTCTTCATTGACTAAACTGAAAAATATAATTAATATATATATGTATAATAACATATATTTATGTATATTAATATAAACTCCAAATATTGTAATGTGTGGTTCATTTTAAATTGTATAACATATAACGAAACTGTTACCAAGAAGACAACTTGTCATTACTTCTCCTGGTGCGTCGTCTGCAGGTAGCATGTCGGCGTGGAGTACATGGCGTACATTTGATGTTTGAAGCCTTCTTCATTGACTAAACTGAAAAATATAATTAATATATATACAGGGTGACTGGTGAATTACTATCAATATTTAAGGAGCATACTCGGTACATGATTCTCATTCGAATTATGTAAAAAAAATAGGTACTTAATTTTTGACCAAATTTCCGTATAAATAAATAAAGTTTGGACACGTACTCAGCCTTGCCGGCGCCAGTGTGTCGCTACTCCCCAACCCCCGCCCCGTGGCTAGCGGGCCATTAGTCGGCTATTAGTCGCGCGAGCGCCGCCGTAAGGTCCGTACGTTCGTCTTCCCGCGCGCGCGCCTTGCGATCGATCTTACGCGTATACCTAATAATAATCTGTCGTGTGTGCGTGTGACCCGTTATTACTTATTAGTAATTAAATATGGCTTTTCAATACACAAATGCAGAATACTTGGACATGGTTCATGCGTATGCGCGTGCAAATGAAAGCTTGCCGGGCGCAATCAATTTGTACCGGGAGATGTTCCCCAATCGTCGAGTACCTACGGCCAGCGTCATCTTAAACGCTAATCAAAGATTACGAGACTTCGGACAGTTCCGTGTTCCAACACATGCCCAAGGAAACGTCTTGTGTATGCTACAATGTATGTCAACAGAGAGGAGTTGAAATTAAAAATCAATAGTGCTTTCGAAACTTAAAAAAGTGACCCATTCGTATTAAATCGTGTGAAAGACAATATGTGTAAACGTGCCGAACTGTGTATCACACGAGAAGGAGCTCGCTTTGAACATTTGTTAAGGTTAGTGTAGTTATGTAGGTAAATAGGTAGTTTAATGATTGACAATTGTTGTAAATAAGAATGATTCCATTTTTAAATACGCCGGAAATACCAAGATAGGTAAACAGTTCATATTATTTTTCGTGTCAAGGTCACACCATTTACCTAGTCAATAAATTGGTTGCTTAAACGAAAGAAATATCTTGGTATTTTTGCCTGTCCTAAGCCAGGATTAAAGTATGAAGGGAATTGGATCATTTTTGTTTATCTAAGGTCTAACACGCGGCGGCGCGCGTCGTTTGGATGTAGGTAAACTACCGCGCGATAACTACATATACCTACGTACATAACTGTTTTGTGTCGATAACGCAGCTAGGGTATCCACGCGATCCGTAATTAATTGCATAACTTTTGGTTAACTTTACTTAGAAGTTTATTAATATTTATGTTATATTAATTTTTATTTTGTCATATATGATCGTCAACTACCACGTCCTTAAATATTGATAGTAATTCACCAGTCACCCTGTATAATAACATATATTTATGTATATTAATATAAACTCCAAATATTGTAATGTGTGGTTCATTTTAAATTGTATAACATATAACGAAACTCTTACCAAGAAGAGAACTTGTCATTACTTCTCCTGGTGCGTCGTCTGCAGGTAGCATGTCGGCGTGGAGTACATGGCGTACATTTGATGTTTGAAGCCTTCTTCATTGACTAAACTGAAAAATATAATTAATATATATATAATTACATATATTTATGTATATTAATATAAACTCCAAATATTGTAATGTGTGGTTCATTTTAAATTGTATAACATATAACGAAACTGTTACCAAGAAGACAACTTGTCATTACTTCTCCTGGTGCGTCGTCTGCAGGTAGCATGTCGGCGTGGAGTACATGGCGTACATTTGATGTTTGAAGCCTTCTTCATTGACTAAACTGAAAAATATAATTAATATATATATAATTACATATATTTATGTATATTAATATAAACTCCAAATATTGTAATGTGTGGTTCATTTTAAATTGTATAACATATAACGAAACTCTTACCAAGAAGACAACTTGTCATTACTTCTCCTGGTGCGTCGTCTGCAGGTAGCATGTCGGCGTGGAGTACATGGCGTACATTTGATGTTTGAAGCCTTCTTCATTGACTAAACTGAAAAATATAATTAATATATATATAATTACATATATTTATGTATATTAATATAAACTCCAAATATTGTAATGTGTGGTTCATTTTAAATTGTATAACATATAACGAAACTGTTACCAAGAAGAGAACTTGTCATTACTTCTCCTGGTGCGTCGTCTGCAGGTAGCATGTCGGCGTGGAGTACATGGCGTACATTTGATGTTTGAAGCCTTCTTCATTGACTAAACTGAAAAATATAATTAATATATATATAATTACATATATTTATGTATATTAATATAAACTCCAAATATTGTAATGTGTGGTTCATTTTAAATTGTATAACATATAACGAAACTCTTACCAAGAAGACAACTTGTCATTACTTCTCCTGGTGCGTCGTCTGCAGGTAGCATGTCGGCGTGGAGTACATGGCGTACATTTGATGTTTGAAGCCTTCTTCATTGACTTAACTGAAAAATATAATTAATATATATATAATAACATATATTTATGTATATTAATATAAACTCCAAATATAGTAATGTGTGGTTCATTTTAAATTGTATAACATATAACGAAACTCTTACCAAGAAGACAACTTGTCATTACTTCTCCTGGTGCGTCGTCTGCAGGTAGCATGTCGGCGTGGAGTACATGGCGTACATTTGATGTTTGAAGCCTTCTTCATTGACTAAACTGAAAAAAATATAATTAATATATATATATAATAACATATATTTATGTATATTAATATAAACTCCAAATATTGTAATGTATGGTTCATTTTAAATTGTATAACATATAACGAAACTCTTACCAAGAAGACAACTTGTCATTACTTCTCCTGGTGCGTCGTCTGCAGGTAGCATGTCGGCGTGGAGTACATGGCGTACATTTGATGTTTGAAGCCTTCTTCATTGACTAAACTGAAAAATATAATTAATATATATATAATAACATATATTTATGTATATTAATATAAACTCCAAATATTGTAATGTGTGGTTCATTTTAAATTGTATAACATATAACGAAACTGTTACCAAGAAGACAACTTGTCATTACTTCTCCTGGTGCGTCGTCTGCAGGTAGCATGTCGGCGTGGAGTACATGGCGTACATTTGATGTTTGAAGCCTTCTTCATTGACAAAACTGAAAAATACAATTACATATATTTATGTATATTAATATAAACTCCAAATATTGTAATGTGTGGTTCATTTTAAATTGTATAACATATAACGAAACTCTTACCAAGAAGACAACTTGTCATTACTTCTCCTGGTGCGTCGTCTGCAGGTAGCATGTCGGCGTGGAGTACATGGCGTACATTTGATGTTTGAAGCCTTCTTCATTGACTAAACTGAAAAATATAATTAATATATATATAATAACATATATTTATGTATATTAATATAAACTCCAAATATTGTAATGTGTGGTTCATTTTAAATTGTATAACATATAACGAAACTGTTACCAAGAAGACAACTTGTCATTACTTCTCCTGGTGCGTCGTCTGCAGGTAGCATGTCGGCGTGGAGTACATGGCGTACATTTGATGTTTGAAGCCTTCTTCATTGACAAAACTGAAAAATACAATTACATATATTTATGTATATTAATATAAACTCCAAATATTGTAATGTGTGGTTCATTTTAAATTGTATAACATATAACGAAACTCTTACCAAGAAGACAACTTGTCATTACTTCTCCTGGTGCGTCGTCTGCAGGTAGCATGTCGGCGTGGAGTACATGGCGTACATTTGATGTTTGAAGCCTTCTTCATTGACTAAACTGAAAAATATAATTAATATATATATAATAACATATATTTATGTATATTAATATAAACTCCAAATATTGTAATGTGTGGTTCATTTTAAATTGTATAACATATAACGAAACTGTTACCAAGAAGACAACTTGTCATTACTTCTCCTGGTGCGTCGTCTGCAGGTAGCATGTCGGCGTGGAGTACATGGCGTACATTTGATGTTTGAAGCCTTCTTCATTGACAAAACTGAAAAATACAATTACATATATTTATGTATATTAATATAAACTCCAAATATTGTAATGTGTGGTTCATTTTAAATTGTATAACATATAACGAAACTCTTACCAAGAAGACAACTTGTCATTACTTCTCCTGGTGCGTCGTCTGCAGGTAGCATGTCCCGCGTGGAGTACATGGCGTACATTTGATGTTTGAAGCCTTCTTCATTGACTAAACTGAAAAATATAATTAATATATATATAATAACATATATTTATGTATATTAATATAAACTCCAAATATTGTAATGTGTGGTTCATTTTAAATTGTATAACATATAACGAAACTGTTACCAAGAAGACAACTTGTCATTACTTCTCCTGGTGCGTCGTCTGCAGGTAGCATGTCGGCGTGGAGTACATGGCGTACATTTGATGTTTGAAGCCTTCTTCATTGACAAAACTGAAAAATACAATTACATATATTTATGTATATTAATATAAACTCCAAATATTGTAATGTGTGGTTCATTTTAAATTGTATAACATATAACGAAACTCTTACCAAGAAGACAACTTGTCATTACTTCTCCTGGTGCGTCGTCTGCAGGTAGCATGTCGGCGTGGAGTACATGGCGTACATTTGATGTTTGAAGCCTTCTTCATTGACTAAACTGAAAAATATAATTAATATATATATAATAACATATATTTATGTATATTAATATAAACTCCAAATATTGTAATGTGTGGTTCATTTTAAATTGTATAACATATAACGAAACTGTTACCAAGAAGACAACTTGTCATTACTTCTCCTGGTGCGTCGTCTGCAGGTAGCATGTCGGCGTGGAGTACATGGCGTACATTTGATGTTTGAAGCCTTCTTCATTGACAAAACTGAAAAATACAATTACATATATTTATGTATATTAATATAAACTCCAAATATTGTAATGTGTGGTTCATTTTAAATTGTATAACATATAACGAAACTCTTACAAAGAAGACAACTTGTCATTACTTCTCCTGGTGCGTCGTCTGCAGGTAGCATGTCGGCGTGGAGTACATGGCGTACATTTGATGTTTGAAGCCTTCTTCATTGACAAAACTGAAAAATACAATTACATATATTTATGTATATTAATATAAACTCCAAATATTGTAATGTGTGGTTCATTTTAAATTGTATAACATATAACGAAACTCTTACAAAGAAGAGAACTTGTCATTACTTCTCCTGGTGCGTCGTCTGCAGGTAGCATGTCGGCGTGGAGTACATGGCGTACATTTGATGTTTGAAGCCTTCTTCATTGACTAAACTGAAAAATATAATTAATATATATATAATTACATATATTTATGTATATTAATATAAACTCCAAATATTGTAATGTGTGGTTCATTTTAAATTGTATAACATATAACGAAACTGTTACCAAGAAGAGAACTTGTCATTACTTCTCCTGGTGCGTCGTCTGCAGGTAGCATGTCGGCGTGGAGTACATGGCGTACATTTGATGTTTGAAGCCTTCTTCATTGACTAAACTGAAAAATATAATTAATATATATATAATTACATATATTTATGTATATTAATATAAACTCCAAATATTGTAATGTGTGGTTCATTTTAAATTGTATAACATATAACGAAACTGTTACCAAGAAGAGAACTTGTCATTACTTCTCCTGGTGCGTCGTCTGCAGGTAGCATGTCGGCGTGGAGTACATGGCGTACATTTGATGTTTGAAGCCTTCTTCATTGACTAAACTGAAAAATATAATTAATATATATATAATTACATATATTTATGTATATTAATATAAACTCCAAATATTGTAATGTGTGGTTCATTTTAAATTGTATAACATATAACGAAACTGTTACCAAGAAGAGAACTTGTCATTACTTCTCCTGGTGCGTCGTCTGCAGGTAGCATGTCGGCGTGGAGTACATGGCGTACATTTGATGTTTGAAGCCTTCTTCATTGACAAAACTGAAAAATATAATTAATATATATATAATTACATATATTTATGTATATTAATATAAACTCCAAATATTGTAATGTGTGGTTCATTTTAAATTGTATAACATATAACGAAACTGTTACCAAGAAGAGAACTTGTCATTACTTCTCCTGGTGCGTCGTCTGCAGGTAGCATGTCGGCGTGGAGTACATGGCGTACATTTGATGTTTGAAGCCTTCTTCATTGACAAAACTGAAAAATATAATTACATATATTTATGTATATTAATATAAACTCCAAATATTGTAATGTGTGGTTCATTTTAAATTGTATAACATATAACGAAACTCTTACCAAGAAGAGAACTTGTCATTACTTCTCCTGGTGCGTCGTCGTTCATAGACGAGACGAAACTACTAAGCATTCCATGGATTCACCGTGCGGGTGCCGGATCCATCGCGTTGCAGGGAGAGGAGCTTCAACAGTGCCTGGGACTTGCGACCCAAGTGTAGGTTTAAGGGGCCCCTTAACTAACGCGCGTTATACGCTCACCTCCACTGTCCAAGCTCCTCTCCCTACCTAACCAAATTTGAAAAGAACCTACTAGGGCTGCCTTCGATATACGATCCAAGAATGCATTAATGTGAGTTCTGGACAAGCCCAAGCCCTTTAGTAGGTTGTAGAGAGATTTCGCTGTTATACCTCTCGCTCCCACCTCTACCGCGTACAAATCTACTACGAACCTATTTCGAGTGAGTTCGTTTGTGAGCTCGTAATATTTGTTGACCTTGGGGGTATGGTCTTTGGGGATGTTGGTTTCCCAAGGGACCGTAAGCTCTATCATCACTACGCGCTTTAAAATTCGCGAAAACAAAAATATATCTAGAAAGACTAACCGCTTCACGTATGACTTCTAGAACCCTATCGTGACGACGCGAGTATTGACCGCTGTCCAGGAGTACCTTACATCCCACCAGCAGATGCTTAGCAGTTCCAACTGCCTTTCCACAGATATAGCAAGTTTTGTCGGTACTTTTACCCCATCTTACTAAATTACTCTGATCTGGGAGAGTCATCTGGAACGCATTGAGATAGAATTTTAGCAATGCTGGCGACCAATCATAAATTAAAGTGCGCCATTTTAATGCTAATGGGATGCAAAAATCTCCTATGTCTAACCACTCGTTCTGCATTTCTAAATTCATTGCATGAATCTTACATTTATCATTCTCGTCTTGCCGAATAAAAGACTTCAATATATCCGCATCTTGGACTTTCCTATTTGATCCTAACCCCGCTCTGTTACTTTGCGCTCCTATCATAAATTGCTTATGGAATTGAATTGAAGTCGTGACTCTAGCTCGGGGGCATCTTCATCTTTTGGGAGCGATGTCACTATGTCATCATGGGATTTCCCCAGGATATATCTCTTGGAAACTCTTAGGTGTTTATAGAGCTCCGATGGCCTTTTTAGACTCATCCCAAAACTATTGCTTCCCCTAAATAACGCCGATGAATCAGCCGTTAGAGCGAGCCCGAGCCACAACTTCAACATCTTTATGACGCCTGCATCTAACTTTGACAAAAGGGTTTTATTAAAATCATAGACGAGGAAAGGCCAGTTCAAACGTGAAGTTAAGTAATTCTCGTAGATCCACGCTTTTTTGACGTTACTTATCAGTTGGCTATCTACCTTGTTAAGATCGTTCAAAAAGCTATCTACTATTCCTTCTAAAGATGGAGTACAGCCTATATTATCAATCTTACGACCGAGAAATTTAAATGGTGCATTTTCCGTAACCGTAGAAATGCATTGACCGCCTAACGATAGTCCCGGATCGTATGAGGTATATCTTGTATTCCGCCTACCAAGACACAGACAATGACATTTACTGGGTTTTGTCCTCAATCCATCCGTCCACTTACAGAATTTATCCACTTCATCCAATAGTACTTGACAGTGTTTGGGGTTACGTGTCAGTATTGCGAGATCGTCAGCGAAGGCTAAAATGGATTCCGTGTATTTATTATTAAACTTAAACCGATAACCCCATTTTTTCTCGTTACAGATTAATTTGTCTACTAAGATGTTAATAACGATATTAAACGTAATTGGAGATAGACAACAACCTTGAAACAGTCCTACATTATAACTCAAACCTTTTGAAGGGCCTTCTTTAGTTATTATAGAAAACCTTAATTTTGAGTAATACGACGCGATCATATCTCTAACTAGGGGTGGAAAGTTGTACCATCTAAGTGCGAATAGCATCAACTCGTGTTGTATCGACCCGAACGCGTTCTCCAAGTCTATCCAACAAACAGTGATTTGCCGCTCGCTTTTTCTAGCATCTTTCAAACTCTCCGACAGCAAGGTGTTGTGTTCTAGGCATCCAGAAATCCCGGGTAAAAACCCTTTCTGGTGATTTGGCCTAAAATAGTTGTTGCTGAGCATGAATCGCGTCATTCTCGTTTGTAGAACCGAGAAAAAGATTTTCGATATAGTATTTGTTAAAGCTATCGGTCTAGTATCTTTCGGATCAGTAACTATATCTTTTTTGGGAATGAGGACAAAAATTGCTTTCCCGAAGCACTCCGGGATTTGCTTCCCTGACCAGATTTTACCGTATATATTTAGGAGGTGTTTACGAACCGATGGACATTTTTTTAATATATTCCTATTCTATATCCGTATGATCCTTCCTCATCCTATAATCCTCCTTATGTATAACATGCAGCTACAATGATTACACTAAACTAAGTTTATAATACTAGGGGTTTTATTAGATAAAGTGAGTGGAGTGTACGTTAATATACTGGCGGTTCAGATCATTATATTGAGATGATCTTGGCAATTAAATGTATAATCGAGACGATGTTTTTATGTTTAATAGAACTGTTATATGTGGAGGTTTTATGAAAAAAATATTTAGATCGGGCCAGTTATTTAATTTTTGCACCCGTAAAACAAACTCCAGGTCCAAAAAAAAAACGGTTTAGTAAGAAACGCTAAGGTATGTATGTATATGTATGTGTATGTATATGTATCTATATATATGTGTATATATTATGTATATATCAATAGAAATTAATATGTATAGTTTTACTTTTACATACTACCGTCTTCATGTCTTTCTACTTTGCCTAAGGGTTGACTGGGAGAGAATGCCTTCAGGCATTAAGTCCACCTTTTGTATCTACGTGTGTAGTTAGACAATAAAGATTTTAAATAAAAATAAATAAATAAACGCTAAGGTCGCTTTAGTCACCTCGCACAGAGAGTTTTATACAAGTGAATCAATGTTGTCTTAGATATAGAATATAATTCTTATTATGATATACATATAAGTTAGGTTCCTAGTAGGTACTGTTACAACTTACAACACAGCCTGTATACATCACACTCACCCTCTCACTAGTGAGTCTTAAATTACTTATAATAATGATATAAAATATATTTAAGTATACGTCAGTGGTGTCCTAGTGGTTTGATCCTGGCAAGTACCAATGTGATGTTCCGAGTCATATGTACTTTATAAGAGTATTTAGACATCACTGATTAATGTATTCCCAAAGAGGGTTGATGTCAGGCAGGCGGCCGGTCGTAAAAACTATCAGCCAAAACTATTACTACATGTAAGGCAGACCCTGGCTATAGCTGGGAAATTTCCAGGTAGAAGATGAATATAAAGAGAATATTATAGACACACACACTCCTACACCATTCTACGTACTGATGGTTCAAACGATTATGAAATATATGGAAGTTGATGAAATGGTTTCGGTTATAATTATTTCATACCATCTTTCCGCCCGCAGCTTAGCCCGCGTGGAGTTCGTTTATATCACGTTTCCAAGAGAACCTTTCAAATGTCTGGGATGAAAACTATCTTATGTTATTTCTCAAGGTTAACTCTATGTCTGTACCAAATTTAAAATCAGTTCAGTGGTTTAGGCGTGAAAGCGTAACAGACAGACAGAGTTACTTTCGCATGTATAATATAAGTAGGGATAAATATAACACGATATTTCTTTGAAATCGTGATATTTTAATTACTTATTTTCCAAGATATTTATATTTATCTTGTACTCTGTTAGATTTTAGATTACATATTTTAATATATTTTGCCAAGTAAAGCATGGAAATAAGCTTAGTATATTATTTAAATGTTATGATATAGTATATGAGAAACAGTGTTTATCATTCTTGGTCATATTGTTATATGTTGTAGCTGTATATACCTGTACCATTCCTTTTAGACCAGCAGTAGAAGAAGTACGGCAGCTAACTGTCTGCTATGACGAACCTGGAAAAATAATACATATATATATATATATATATATATATATATATATATATATATATATATATATATATATATATATGTATATATACAGGGTGACTGGTGAATTACTATCAATATTTAAGGAGCATACTCGGTACATGATTCTCATTCGAATTATGTAAAAAAAATAGGTACTTAATTTTTGACCAAATTTCCGTATAAATAAATAAAGTGTGTACACGTTCCAAGGGTTCCAAGTGTGGACGCGCGCGGCGGCGTGTTGTTGTATCAGCACGCCGCCGCGCGCGAGTGTATGTGTGTGTGTATACCTAATCTGTAGGGTGTTCACACGATGCGTAATTAATTACAAAACTTTTGGTTAACTTTACTTAGAAATTTATTAATATTTATGTTATATTAATTTTTATTTTGTCATATATGATCGTCAAATATCACGTCCTCAAATATCGATAGTAATTCACCAGTCACCCTGTATATATATATATAATCAATTCTTATTAAAACTCATTAATATTCGTGATTATTGTTAAAAGTAAAACGAGATCAAAGATTGTTTAAAAGAGAATAGACTTATGTTTGAATCTTGGTATAAATATGACGTCTGGACGCACGATGGCAGACTTCAGAGTTCAGTGAGTGCGTATCATTAAAGTATGTGATTATGAAGAACCTTCGATAAATACAGGAGCATTAAGAACAATTGAAGTTTCATTTTAAAATAACATAGAACGTACTGAAAGAAGTGACATTAGTTACGTCAACGAGACTGTAAAAACAACGAATATGTAATAAATCCTATATATATATATATATATATATATATATATATATATATATATATATATATATATATATATATATATATATATATATACTATATATATGTCCTATTAAATTCTTATAACCATTTTCAACTTTTGAGTATTTTTTTCCACTTTGTCCACAAAATCTATCGGGTCGGCTTAACGGATTTTATGTCTATCTTACAGAGAGGGTAGTATGATATAACATAATATAATACTGTTAGTACTCTCGGGAGATTTACAAAGAGATAGTTAAAGTAAAGGGGAGAGTTAGTTATAATGCTAAAATATTTAAACTTGTATTAATTTAGTTCTATTTATAAACGAGCATGATGAACTAAAAAATAAGTTCTACTTATTGTTGCTATTACTGCTTAAACATATACTTAAATAGTTTTTAAATTTAAAACGTCTATATAATGAGGTTTTAAACTTCAACTAGTTGTTAATATTATCATGTTTATACACTTTACATATATAAAGAGATCTAAGATTTACGCGAGTCTTATTCATTTAAATGAAACTAATTATTTTCGATATGCTAAGTGAATTTCTTTTTGATAAAAACTACATACTCCCGACGTTTCGGTTACTTTACATCAACCGTGATCATTAAGACGAGATGTGAATGTCTGTCAATTTGTCTTTAATTTCAAGAAATGTGATTAATAACGAGATTATGTAGTTTATATCAAAAATAAAGTGTCGTGGGAAATCCAAAATTTATTAGTTTCATTTAAATGACTATATATGTATATTATAATTATTACTATTATAAAACACAATTCAGTATTTGAAGCTGCTCCTTTCTGTTCATTGCGTTTTCGTCGCTTCTCAATCTAAGCCATCGTGTCTTGTAACCCTAGTGTAAGTTTTATTAATCAAACTCAGTAAAGAACGTTTGACTTTATTCATAATCTGTTTGTAAACTATCGCGCGAACAACAAAATTAACGAACTCTGTAACTCTCGTAATGAAAACTTGTAGTAAGTATAAACAAGTCAATATAACACTTGTTTGTAAACTGAATTAATATTTTTTTGAGTAATGTATTTAATTTATTATATGTAAGTACCTCCTCTC